GGTGAAACCACAATAGGTATCTGCCACTTTAGAGGTGATGTAACTTACCCAAGACTGCCCATTCCCCCAGGCTGCAGCCAGTGTCGCTGTCAAATAAAAATAACTTACAGCCTTCCACCTTGTCATCATCCCTTTTCTGGTTCTCCCTCGGGTACTCAAGAATGTTCAAAACTGAATACTGGAGACCATCAGATATAAAAAGCTGAACTTCAGGGTAGATCTGACCAGAAAGTCAAACCTATTCTTGGCTCTACACAGCAGGGAGGGATTGCTTTACCTGTTATCCAATCCTGAGAGCTGTTGGGGCAGAAGTTCTATGAAGAAACCCCCTCCCCACCTCCACTCCATGAACTGGGAACTCCAAGGACATTGACACCCCTGGGAAAGGTGATTGCAACAACTCAGCACATAGTATCATAAGATGGTGTGCTTCTGAGAACTTGTTTTGAGCCCTCCCTCCACCTGACCCAACAGTGTTACCACCATCATCTGTAAAATATTAACTTTATGGGTTAGGAATGTGGTACTGGCCTCTGTCAGGATGGAGTTTACTTCTTTGAGGATTGAACTGAGGAGGCTACATTATGAATTTGAATAGGAGTGTCCTTTTTTTCTCCATCTGCTTTTGAGATTGCAGTGTCACTTGAAGTAAAAACCAAAGACATGTCACCAAGGTTATGAGAAATTAAAAGCTTTCAACAAAGAAGAAACCAAATCTGAGGAGAGAGTAGATGTTGTTGAATTTGATTTCTGAAGAAGCTCCTGGAATTTTACAAAATCCAAGAACACAAACATCATTTTTGTGTTTATCTTAAGGAGTTACTGATTTAAAGCATGCAATTTGTATTTTAAACATTTTTCTTCTTTTTAATCTTGCATCGCGCCCAAAGAATACTAATAGTTACCAAATTGTTCTTTGGCAGAGTAACCTGACCCTCTCAGAACAGAAAAAAGAAAAGAAGTGTAATAGGATGTGATTGTAGCACAAGGCAAAGTTGAGTCCTCAACCCTGAGCAGATATTATCTAATGCAATGATGCTGACCCCGGTTGCCTGGGAACATTTCTCTTCATTACATTATATACATTACGCAGCAACGAATGACAGTTTCCATGGCTCCTAATAAAGAGATTTTTCTCTTTATTACGAGAGCAAAGTGGGGCTTACAGAGACCGTCTGACTTATCTTTGAGCTTCTCAGCCTCCTCATCTGTATGCCGTGGCTTCTCTCATCTGGTGCTGGTTATCATCTCAGGAATGAAGTATTCAGTCCCTAGAAGCAGGTTTCTTCCTACACTGCGAAAACAGGAGGACAAATACCGTGTTACGTGTGCTAAAGATGGCTGAGCATCACTGCCTACAATGAGCTTTTCAAATCTACACTGAGTGCGTTCCTAGCAACTCCCGGCATAGCAAGGAACACGGATGTTTGTAAGGACACATCCCTGAGAGGCAGCAGTTCTAACAGCCTACTGACCTGGCTTCCTCATTCCGGTTTCTTTGTGCAGAGGCATTTGTTTTCCCAAGTCCTTCACCATGTGCTAACAATTAGACAAGGACTCTATAAATGAGTGTCACCGACGGTGGGTGGTGTGTTTTCTTAGTCCTTTATTGAAAACATATGGAGATGTTTATATATAAATAGAAAACAATAGAATGCTGCCATCATGTTAGCAGCAGCTAGCAAAATTCTACATGAACAGAAATTAAACATGTCTCTACCTACTCCAGAATTCTGGTTTACTGACATCGGCACATCCTGTCTAATTCGGCTTGAAAGGATGTTTTATTATTTTGGGGTTTTTTATTCCTAGTTGGAAGGAAATTGTGAGGCAAGAGTTGTTTGGTTTTTGCTTTTGTTTTGTTTACTCCTTCCTTTGCCTAATCAGATTACTTAATTAGCAGGGATGATAAATTCGGCCCAAGTAGACCTTGTATCATGATCATGGAAATTAATTTTAAATGCCAGTTAAAATTTAAATTTGAAATACAGTCCCTGTATTTTTAAATTAAAAGTAGAGGACTGTGGCCTGACAGTTGGGAGAAAGCTTCAGCAGGCAGGGTAGTGGAGGGGTGGAGAGCTCCGGCTTTCGGAAGCAGACCTTTCCATTCGCATTCTGGCTGCTCCACTTACTACCCGGGTAACTTCGGGAATGTTACATGATGTTACTAAACCTCCACTGCTTCATCTGTGAAAGAAGAAATACCGCACTTGCCTCATAGCATGATTGTAAGCATTACAAGGGATAAGCTGGAAAGCCTTTCACACAATGTCTGGCACACAGGCAGCACTGCAGAAATGCCTCCTAGCATCACTGTAAGCAGCTAACTGGCTGGTTTATGTGGAGGCCATCCTTAGACATTTGAGAGGTCCAGATGCTTCGTAAGACCAGTAAGGACAACCTTATTAAGGACTAATTTTGCGCCAGGCTTTACAGTGAACTCTTTCTTACAACTCCATGAGCTGCTGCCATTATCATACCCATTTCAAAGAAGAAGAGACTAAGAGGTTATATAGACCACATGAAGACGCACAGCCAATGACTGATTAATCTGACGATCAAACCCAGTCTGAATAATTCCAAAGTCCATACTCTTTATCTCTCTGCTAGACTGGCTGCCACACATACCTTTAAAAGCTTATTTATATACATTATCCTCTGTGTTCCTAGCAACATCCTGGAACATTGTACAGAAGCCTTCACAAACTATGGAGCCCCTTGTCCCTGTCATTTGCTCATTTGCAGTTGAAGACGGCCAAGAAGTCCTTAATGCACATTTTGTGAGGGGCCCTGACAAGTTCGACTCATGCAGCCACTTTCACTTTGACCCACAAAGGTCTTTCCTTTGAAGGTGCTCAAAGCTCCATGTGCCCAGGCTCATTATTCTCATTGGAAGAGAGCATTTGTCCCACTCTACAAGATGGAGAAGCCAGAGGCCAAGATGGCATGACTTGGGGACAGAGGGAGAAAACCAGTCACCACCCGCCTTGGTAACCCAGCAGAGAACAGAACAGAGTGGGTCCAGGGCTGTGTCCACCTCACAAGACGGCTCCATATGTTGGGGTCGGTCTGACAGCCAAACTGCTACCTAGCCTCACTTCAACCTAAATAGTGCAAGATCAACAGTGCTTTGTCTAATATTCTTGTTGGAAAGATGGGATCTGCCTGCAGTAGGGGAACCCTCACTAATATAAGATCATCCAATTTTGTTTTCATTTGCAGATTATCGTGATGTTTCTATTCTCCTTTTTACACGAGATCAAGTTTGGGGTGGAGAGTAGCAGGGCATATAAAGGGAGAAGGTTAGGACTGCCAAACGACGTGTCAACTTCCTGACTTAGCGCCTGTGTGCTAGTTACACAAACGAGTCCTGAATGTGAGACATCAATGCAAATATTTTGCATATTATTAACTTGAATGATGCTGCTGTTGTGAGGTAGCCACAGCTGAAAGTGGACATGACACTTTTTATTATAAATGCCTCAGGTCTTTCTCTGAAAATCACCATGAAGACAGAAACCCCTTGGAAATGAGAGTGAAAGCATGAGAAGACTTCTGCTTTGTTAACTTTCTCAGTCATTGACAAGGACAGCAGCAACGTGATGGTGTCCCAGGGCCCCCCCATCAGCCCTATAGATGTTGGCAACATCCTCCTTTAGAATCCAGCACAGTTCTTGTCCTTGAAACAACAGTATACTTCCATGGCAAGTTAGGAAATCAGTGTAAAAAGGAATCGTTCTAGGAAAAGAAAAATGCAACCCTCAAATTGTTACATAAGTGAAAAACCATTTGAATTCTTAATAAGCCTTCCTTATCACTCCATCCCATGCTGGCGATGGCAGAGTGGAGTCCTGGGAAGCAGAGGATTCCAGACCCAGGCTCTACCATTTGCCAGCTGTGTGACTTTAAGCAAATCACTTGACCTCTCTAATCCTCAGTTCCTTTTCTGTAAAACAGCAATAACCATAAAGCTGCTTTGTCTACTTTATGGGTTCGAGAAGCAGATAAATGGAGATTGCAAGTATGAAATCTCTCTGGAAGCTCTGTGCAAATATTATTATTGATTTTTACTAGCTGAGTAGTAAGGAATGACTAGCAATGCCATTCATTGATAGCGTGGGAATAACTCAACCTGGTGGTTGGTAGTGGATCAGTCTTGGAGAAGTGAATGGTTCCTGGGAAGCAGATAGGCCAATGGTAAGGGCCTTAAACTTGTGAGTCTAGGGCTCTGTGGCAGTTTAGTTGTACAACCTGGCCGACAGCATCTCCTATTCTAAGCTCTTGCAGCAACATTATAGGCTACGTGAAATCACTGCGTGCTTTCTTAGCAGACATTATTTGGGAAGCCTTCACAAACTAGTGGCCTGACAGAGTTGCCAGGGTTTCCAGTGCTATGTACACACCAGCAAGAGCAGTGTTTCATGTGTCATCCTACTGCCTTCCTCCCAGGAGACTCAACAGATGGAATAACAACGTCAGAAACCCAAGACAACCTGTCCGTTTGATGCCTAGAAGCTTTGGCAGAAGTCACAATTAAAATCAGATCAAATACCTATTTAGAGGAAAGAGGTACAGGGAAATAGGTCCTCGGGGTACACTTTCTTTTGTCTGAGCTTGACTACCACTATCTGGGGATACCTACCACGTAGGAGGAATTATATTCCAGTACACACTAGGCATTTGAGAAAATTGGTTGAAAGACTGTGATTGCTAGTAGAAAATAATTGAGTGACTCCAATATGAGGCTTTATATTTCCTTTCATTATATTTTTAAAGTCCTTCCAAGTCAACTTGAGTTTGGCAAATCCCGGAATGAGTAATTGTGCATCTCAGAACGCTTAGATAATATGCAGACCAGACCCTAGGTCAGGCAGAGCGGCATGTGTTTTGGTAAGAACTGCCTAGGAGATAAAGCATTTGATTATTGTTGTTTGATAGTTCCCAAGGAGAAGGCAACAAAGAAACAGATAATGGACCAAATACTTTTCTCTCTTGTTTAGGCAAATATTTCCAACTACAGCCTGGTGATGGAGTCTGATGAGGGAACCTTCTTACCCTCTGGGCTGCAATTCACTGGCAGTGAGAAGGCCAGGGCCATCATGGAGGAGGTCATGAGGCTGCTGCAGCCTGTCAATGTCACACAGGTCTTTAGGACTGGAGAAGGGACAGACATTAACTTCTGGATCCAAGCTGGAGTGCCTGGTAAGACCAAAAAATGAAGTCGGTTAAAGATGCTATTCAAACTTGTCACAGCAATACCAATAGGCCAGTTAATATGTGGAAACTCTAAACTTTTGTCTACAAATTATAGTCTGATGATTTCCAGACTTGGAATAATAATATTCATTTGTGTTTGTTTACCCATTTGTCTTCTTTTTCTAAATAATAAGTCTCTCACTCCCAGAAATTCTGCTTTAATGATTCTGGGATAGGGCCTACAAATCTGTTTTTGGTTTTGGTTATTTTTTTAACAGGTATCTGAATGGTGATCTCATGACCAAAATTTGAGAAATGGTGTACTGTTTATTATTATTACTTATTATTATTATTACTGATATGCTTCTAGTTTTGGTTCTGTGCTAGGAAATCTTCTCTGACCCAAATAATTTCCTGCCCAAGTACCATGGTATCTGAAATTTTACCAGTAGAGCTTTATTCTTTGAGGGTTGGGTGCTTCCTACTAATCATTTTTTTCTTAGTGAAGTCTCTTAGAAGAGATTGGACTAAACTACTTTTCCCTGATCAGTGATTTATTAGGTTGATATTTTTAAGACAAATCCTCGGGAGGGGTGAACTTATGGAATAGGAGTAGGCCTCAGGAGGTCCCAGGACTACAAAGTAGAATAATCTTTTTTTTTTTTTTTTTAAAGATTTTATTTATTTATTTGTCAGAGAGAGAGAGGGAGAGAGCGAGCACAGGC